ATTGGTGTGTGTTATCTGGCTTCTGAGCTCCTGAGCCACAAGGTAAACTTACTTGGCGCTCAACAGTTATTTAGCATCAATTATTTAGTTGTTTTGATTATTCGTTTGCAGTTTTGTCGTTGATAACTGCGGCGAATTGTTCATGTTTGAGTCCACAGATTCACCTCACCTGGCACGCATCAGACTAAATAAAGGGCGAGAAAAAAACTGCTTCCGCATCCTTCTGCCCCTCGGCGGGGTGTTTGTGTGGGAAGACGTGATTGATGAGTTAATCACGTGCCACCTGAAATCAGACTGTGAATCAATCACGATCATGTTTGCGTGGTGATTCGGAGTGACAGTCTGCCAGCGTGGCGAATTAGAAATAGAGTGAACAGATAAAGCCCGTGGAGCTGACACAGAGCTCTGCGGGGCTTCATGAGGGAAACTCCAAACCAAATCCATCCATCGTGACGGCTGAGTGAAAACAGGTGGCCGTAAGCCCCACTGTAAGAGGCACTTTCATAAGTCGGTCGATTTTCTTGTCAGACTTGTTGATAATAAACCTGCTGCTCCTCTTCCTACACAAGTGATGCTGCAGCAGAGCTAACTGCACCGTTATGTTCTCACAGATTTGAGAAGAGCATCAGCTACGGCTGTGAAATAGATGACTGAGGTTCTGGTTTCATAGCAGCCGCACCAGCCAAGAAACACAATCCTGTTCAGAGGCAGAGCGCTGGCCGATGCACACTTTCCCCCTTCAGCTTAACTGGAGCTGACGGCTCAATAAAAGGAGAGAGCTGTTTGTCTGCCGTCATTGTTTCCGTGCTGTCTCTGGGCTGCAGCCCGCGGAGGGATCCACATGATCTCCTCAGAGTTTAAACTCCAGCTCTGCTCATGCTTTACATCCCGATCTGCTTGCTGTGCAGCAGCTTTCTAAAGCTGACCGCTGAGAGAAACAGGTGAATGGAAGGGAAACTTATTAAAGCCCGGAGAGGCGAGGAGGCATTTCTCTGACCAGCAGGGGTCGCTCCAAACACTCAGATGGGCTGCAGAAGTTAAAGGTGAACCAAACTGTTCACTGTGGAGAGTCCCAGGAAGTCTGGATCCAGTGAAGCCACAATTGCGTGCTTCCTGTTGTAAAGCAGCCAAAAGGACCTCCAGTCCTCTGTGTTTGCATCATCAAAGATGCAGAACTACCTGTGACTGAGCCCCTGGCCTGGATGGATGGATCTTTAGGGCTCTAAACGTCGGGAACAGGGCCGCTGGATTATCTAACCAGGGTGGTGGTTCCCCTCTTTAAGAAGAAGAACACCACTCAGCCAGGTCAGCCAGGCTGTCAGAGCTGTGGTCACTGGACCAGCTCAGTATCAGAGAGACTCGAGTCTGCGTGGGAGCCAAAGGTGCTGCTATTCAGGCTGCTGTTCGTCATCGTGTCTGTTCCTAATTTCTGAGGACAGAATCTCGGTGCAGGGTGAAAGGTGTCGGGCTTGGTGATCTCAGGGTCTGCTTTTTACAGATGATCTGGTCTTTCTGGCTTCATCAAGTGACGACCGCAAGCTTGGGTGGGTTGAAGACATGTGTGCAGGGGTGAGGGCGGTAACCACCATTTCTGAGGTCATGCTTGGTCCTCAGAGAGAAGGATGGACAGCTCGTGTTGGGGATGAGCGGATGCCTGGAGTTTAAGTATCTCAGGTCCTATTCATGACTGAGGGGAGAGACGAGCAGGAGCTTGACAGAGGCATCGATGTGAGTCTGGAGGATGGAAGCAGCATAGACGGGTTTCTTCCAGAGGATTCAGCAGTCGTGGAGTCAGCGAGGACCTCGGTCATTCAGAGCACAGCTGCTGCTCTTTGTTACTGACTGGAGTCAGCTGACCAGGATGCCTGCTAGGTGAGGGGCTCTGGGCA